TCTTCATTTAGCCATTCTCTAGTTTTTGCAATTAATACACTTTTTTTTTTAAATTGTGCTGAGATTTGAAAGCCTTTTGAGCCGTATCCCCCCCTCTCATATAATAATTAGCCATTAGGAGCAACTTTAACAATTCCATTTGCTTCAGTTTGTTGACGTCTGCATTCAACAACCAATGAGAGTCGAGAGCGAGAAGCCGAGCCAATGAGGTGCGAGACCGTCTGTGCGTCAGTGACGTGGCGTCAGTGCGTGCGCAGAGCTCGCATGCCCTTGGCTTTTATTAACGACAGAATCATATTTACACAGGTATGATCGACATTCAGATGTGATTTATGCTGTTAACAATCTTTACTTTAAAGCTCATGTGCGGGAACAAACGCCAGAGTTTATTAAGGGAGAGCTGTGTACAGATTAGTTATAGTTTCCCACGAGATCATCAATATTAAACTCCAGATATTATTGTTTTCAACTTAAGATTGTTGGCATATTATTATTTAACTCGAGATATGATTTGCGTTCTGTCTAACTGACCGCCTTGATTCCTGTCGGTAATCCTGAGAATGATTCTGTGTTCATCTTTCTACAGTTCAGGATCTCACGACACTTCTGTGCTTCATATTTTACTTCAACATTGAACATTAAATTATAATTGCTACATTTTGGCATTTTTGATATGATATAATGACACTTTATCCCCCGTTTACTGTGATTACACTTACAGAATAAACACCGTGAACATGTGAAATACATGTGTGAAAATAATGCTGCATCTCGATGCATGTTTTGCATTACATGGATGAAAATTAGTGTGTGTGTGTGTGTGTGTGTGTATGTGAAAGAGAGAGAGAGAGTGAGTGTGTACGTTTGTGTGTGTGTGTGTGAGAGAGAGAGTGAGTGAATGACTGTGTACGTTTGTGTGTGTGTGTGTGTGTGTGTGTGAGAGAGAGAGAGTGAGTGAATGACTGTACGTTTGTGTGTGTGTGTGTGTGTGTGAGAGAGAGAGAGAGTGAGTGAATGACTGTGTACATTTGTGCGTGTGTCCGAGTGTGAGTGTGTGTTGTGATCTTCTGTCTCTTCTTCTCTTCTACAGGATGGGTTTTCTTCTCTCTAAATCTATGGATCAGAGTCTCCAGAAGCAGCAGGAGTTCATGTTGATCAGCGGGAGAATGCAGGTGTGTGTGTGTGTGTGTGTGTGTGAGTGCTGTGTGTGTGAGAGCGGGAGAATACAGGTGTTGTGTGTGTGTAATGGAGAGAGTGTGTGTTTGAGAGCGGGAGAATGCAGGTGTGTGTGTGTAAGAGAGAGAGTGTGTGAGTGTGTGTGAGAGTGGGAGAATACAGGTGTTGTGTGTGTGTGTAATGGAGAGAGTGTGTGTGAGAGCGGGAGAATACAGGTGTGTGTGTGTAAGAGAGAGAGTGTGAGAGCGGGAGAATCCAGGTGTGTGTGTGTGTGTAAGAGAGAATGTGTGAGTGTGTGTGAGAGCGGGCGACTGCAGGTGTGTGTGTGTGTGTGTGTGTGTGTAAGAGAGAGAGTGTGAGAGTGTGTGAGTGTGTGTGTGTGTAAGAGAGAGAGTGTGTGTGAGAGCGGGAGAATGCAGGTGTGTGAGAGCGGCCGACTGCAGGTGTGTGTGTGTGTGTGTGCGCCAGAGACTCATTATATTCATTCCTTCATTCATCAGTCATTACTCTAGATGAACATCAGGGCTATTGTGAATAGGGCTATCCTCATCTTCATCCTCATCATTATCCTCATCATCATCTTCGTCATCATCATCTTCATCCTCATCATCTGAGTGACTGATGTTACCTCAGCTTCAGACCCTCGGGTGAACAGAAGCTGGTTTGGCTGATGTTCGCTGTGATGATGATGAGGATTATGATGTCATGACGAGGGTCACGTGACTCTGCTCTCAGCGCTGCTGTTTCTGGCCTTCGGATGCTCATAAACACTGGTTATCATCCACAATCTAATAAGCGTCCTCGAGCTCCTCCAGAAATGTGGATCATCTTTCTGAATATCGTTCTCACTCGCTGAACCGAGTGTTTACTCAGGACAGATCCGATGCTGCCAGCGCTTGACCAAACTCTCCGTCTCACCGCCGCTCGGAGATTCACACTAATGACATGTTAATCGTCCTGAAAGGGCGAGATGATGAACGTGTGTGTTGCTTGTGTGTGTGTGTGTGTGGGTGTGTGGTGTATGTATACTCTCGGTTTCTTCTGTTTGCGTGTGACCAACCCTGATGAACAAAACCAGTTTAAACCGGCCTCACCAGGCTCTCCTTTATAGATCTGTGTCCTCACTGAACGTGTGCGTGCGCCGAGAGCCAGGAACGCCTAAAAATACTCAGAGTTGTAAAGCGGCGTACGCCAGACCCTGCGCTAATCCCCTTATAACCCCAGTCAGAGGAAGATGGAGAACACGCGTCTCCTCCCCGGAGGGAGCATATATGAGCTGACCACGCCCCGCTCACTATATCCTCATCTGCATATCATCTGCATATTCATCCCGAGATCCATGTGTAACGGGACGAGACATCAGGAGAATATGACAGACGGATGAGCGTCACATTACAGTGCTAACAATCATTTAGTAAAAAAAAAAATAGTTTGCACTTTTTACAGCCATTCACTGCCATTATAAAACTTGGAAGAGCCAGGACATTTTTAATATAACTCTGATTGTGTTCGTCTGAGAGAAGAGTGTCATACACACCGAGGAAGAGTGTCATACACACCGAGGAAGAGTGTCACACACACCGAGGAGAGTGTCATACACACCGAGGAAGAGTGTCATACACACCGAGGAAGAGTGTCATACACACCGAGGAAGAGTGTCACACACACCGAGGAAGAGTGTCACATACACCGAGGAGAGTGTCACACACACCGAGGAAGAGTGTCACACACACCGAGGAAGAGTGTCACACACACCGAGGAAGAGTGTCACACACACCGAGGAAGAGTGTCACACACACCGAGGAAGAGTGTCACACACACCGAGGAAGAGTGTCACACACACCGAGGAAGAGTGTCACACACACCGAGGAAGAGTGTCACACACACCGAGGAAGAGTGTCACACACACCGAGGAAGAGTGTCACACACACCGAGGAAGAGTGTCACATACACCGAGGAGAGTGTCACACACACCGAGGAAGAGTGTCACACACACCGAGGAAGAGTGTCACACACACCGAGGAAGAGTGTCACACACACCGAGGAAGAGTGTCACACACACCGAGGAAGAGTGTCACATACACCGAGGAAGAGTGTCACACACACCGAGGAAGAGTGTCACACACACAGAGGAAGAGTGTCACACACACCGAGGAAGAGTGTCACACACACCGAGGAAGAGTGTCACACACACCGAGGAAGAGTGTCACACACACCGAGGAAGAGTGTCACACACACCGAGGAAGAGTGTCACACACACCGAGGAAGAGTGTCACACACACCGAGGAAGAGTGTCACATACACCGAGGAGAGTGTCACACACACCGAGGAAGAGTGTCACACACACAGAGGAAGAGTGTCACACACACCGAGGAAGAGTGTCACACACACAGAGGAAGAGTGTCACACACACAGAGGAAGAGTGTCACATACACCGAGGAAGAGTGTCACATACACCGAGGAGAGTGTCACACACACCGAGGAAGAGTGTCACACACACAGAGGAAGAGTGTCACACACACAGAGGAAGAGTGTCACACACACCGAGGAAGAGTGTCACACACACCGAGGAAGAGTGTCACACACACAGAGGAAGAGTGTCACACACACAGAGGAAGAGTGTCACACACACCGAGGAAGAGTGTCACACACACCGAGGAAGAGTGTCACACACACCGAGGAAGAGTGTCACACACACCGAGGAAGAGTGTCACACACACCGAGGAAGAGTGTCACACACACCGAGGAAGAGTGTCACACACACCGAGGAAGAGTGTCACACACACCGAGGAAGAGTGTCACACACACCGAGGAAGAGTGTCACATACACCGAGGAGAGTGTCACACACACCGAGGAAGAGTGTCACACACACAGAGGAAGAGTGTCACACACACCGAGGAAGAGTGTCACACACACCGAGGAAGAGTGTCACATACACCGAGGAGAGTGTCACACACACCGAGGAAGAGTGTCACACACACCGAGGAAGAGTGTCACACACACAGAGGAAGGAAGAGTGTCACACACACAGAGGAAGAGTGTCACACACACAGAGGAAGAGTGTCACACACACCGAGGAAGAGTGTCACACACACCGAGGAAGAGTGTCATACACACCGAGGAAGAGTGTCACACACACCGAGGAAGAGTGTCACACACACCAAACGGCTCCATCGCAGGATCAGAGTTACAGATGCACTTACACATTCTCCCATCAAGTGTGTTTTTCTAACTCATAACTGGTGTGTGTGTGTGTGTGTGTGTGTGTCGTCCGGCTCGTTCAGGGCCGCTCTGTGCGGTATAGATGAGGCCTGGAGCGTGTTCAGTGTGTGTGTGTGTGTGTGTGTCGTCCGGCTCGTTCAGGGCCGCTCTGTGCGGTATAGATGAGGCCTGGAGCGTGTTCAGTGTGTGTGTGTGTGTGTGTGTGTGTGTCGTCCGGCTCGTTCAGGGCCGCTCTGTGCGGTATAGATGAGGCCTGGAGCGTGTTCAGTGTGTGTGTGTGTGTGTGTGTGTGTGTCGTCCGGCTCGTTCAGGGCCGCTCTGTGCGGTATAGATGAGCCCTGGAGCGTGTTCAGTGTGTGTGTGTGTGTGTGTGTGTGTCGTCCGGCTCGTTCAGGGCCGCTCTGTGCGGTATAGATGAGGCCTGGAGCGTGTTCAGTGTGTGTGTGTGTGTGTGTGTGTGTCGTCCGGCTCGTTCAGGGCCGCTCTGTGCGGTATAGATGAGCCCTGGAGCGTGTTCAGTGTGTGTGTGTGTGTGTGTGTCGTCCGGCTCGTTCAGGGCCGTTCTGTGCGGTATAGATGAGCCCTGGAGCGTGTTCAGTGTGTGTGTGTGTGTGTGTGTGTGTGTCGTCCGGCTCGTTCAGGGCCGTTCTGTGCGGTATAGATGAGCCCTGGAGCGTGTTCAGTGTGTGTGTGTGTGTGTGTGTGTGTGTGTCGTCCGGCTCGTTCAGGGCCGCTCTGTGCGGTATAGATGAGGCCTGGAGCGTTTTAAGTGTGTGTGTGTGTGTGTGTGTCGTCCGGCTCGTTCAGGGCCGCTCTGTGCGGTATAGATGAGGCCTGGAGCGTGTTCAGTGTGTGTGTGTGTGTGTGTGTGTGTGTCGTCCGGCTCGTTCAGGGCCGCTCTGTGCGGTATAGATGAGGCCTGGAGCGTGTTCAGTGTGTGTGTGTGTGTGTGTGTGTGTGTCGTCCGGCTCGTTCAGGGCCGCTCTGTGCGGTATAGATGAGGCCTGGAGCGTGTTCAGTGTGTGTGTGTGTGTGTGTGTGTGTCGTCCGGCTCGTTCAGGGCCGTTCTGTGCGGTATAGATGAGGCCTGGAGCGTGTTCAGTGTGTGTGTGTGTGTGTGTGTGTGTGTGTGTGTCGTCCGGCTCGTTCAGGGCCGCTCTGTGTGGTATAGATGAGGCCTGGAGCGTGTTCAGTGTGTGTGTGTGTGTGTGTGTGTGTGTGTGTGTGTGTGTGTGTCGTCTGGCTCGTTCAGGGCCGCTCTGTGCGGTATAGATGAGGCCTGGAGCGTGTTCAGTGTGTGTGTGTGTGTGTTCTGTCAGACTTCCGTCGGGGTCACGGGGAACAGACTCGCACAGAACCGTCACTCGTGGCCTTTCGGGGAAATGTCAGTGAGTTTCCCACCAGCGTTTCCACTTCATCACCTCTCCTCAACATCTCACACCATCATGGAGGCACCAGGACACCAGACCTGAGACGGGTCACGCCACGCTCCGCACAGAACCGCTCTCAGACATCAGGACACCAGGACACCAGACCTGAGACGGGTCACGCCACGCTCCGCACAGAACCGCTCTCAGACATCAGGACACCAGACCCGAGACGGGTCACGCCACGCTCCGCACAGAACCGCTCTCAGACATCAGGACACCAGGACACCAGACCTGAGACGGGTCACTCCACGCTCCGCACAGAACCGCTCTCAGACATCAGGAGACCAGACCCGAGACGGGTCACGCCACGCTCCGCGCAGAACCGCTCTCAGACATCAGGACA